TTACTACATCATTTCAATTGAGACAACTTTGTTAATAACATTGTAGTTTATTCATTGAAACTTGAAATTCTACAAGTATTTTTATACATGTGTTATGCATGCTTTTGAAAGTTTATTACTGTACATATCCATATATTTATACAATTAAGTTGGATGCCAAAGTGTTACATTAAAGCCATAATTTTGTACTCAATTTTTCCTTCCTTAACCCTTATCTTAAATTGAACTAACAAAGGGACCTGTGTGCACATTGCAGGTTCAATTCCGAAGCAAAACTAATAATGCAATCAAAATCCTGTTATTTCTCAAAGATTATGTATGTTTGAGTCATTTATTAGGTAAATAAAATATTTTTGTCATACTGCACCCAAAACAGCCGTTTTTAATGCATGTGTTGCAGGTCTAAAGTAGCATTGTTATTCTCTAATAGTAAAAATCATTTTTAGTCCCTAGGGAGTACAATCAACTGTTGTAATCAGATGTAAATTTCGATTGTGGCTATTGTATCGATTGAAATTATTTATCGATTTATTTATATTAGGTAAGGTTTTAGCCTATTTTTGTAGATCGCTCGACATATCGATGGTATAATGTACTTTAACACAATCTTAATATACGAAATTAATGAATCACTTACTAAATAGCTGCTTATATACATTAGAAGAATTGAAAACACTGCTTATCACAAATAATCTCTGGACCTGAAAAACAAAAAGATGTTGAATAGGTTTAATATTTAATTGCTTATAAAGAAGGAAAGAACTTTCTTTGTTGAATTTTTTTTTAACATTGTACCGTAAGTAAAAGGTTTTGGGTGGTTCTCAGTTTATCAAATATTTATAAGTTCCATCCCAATATATTAAACCATATTGTAATCTAGAGTTTATTAACACAAAATAAAGTGAGTTTTAAAAAAAACAAATATTACAAATAATATACTCTAATATGAGCAATGTTTGCTTGTATACTTGCTTGCACAAAGACCTCGAAAACAGCTTCGACGGTTTTCTTCAAATGTTGTAAATAGTTTATTTCTGGCCTAAAAACTGCAGTTAGAACTGCCAACAAAAATCTAATTGAACGCTGAAATATGAAACAAAGTCTAAATTTTTTAACATTGGCCTTATGTGCTAAGTAACCATGTTGGTTGAACAAAATAACAAGGACAAGGTAAACAAAAGACTTGTAACATGTGTAGTATAATAAGCCATCCACTGTATAATAGTAAATCACAAAATACAGTACAAAGGGAAAAACATCAGTTTTAACTATTGAGCAAAGATTACACTGAAGATTAAGATTACTCGATACATTGTAGTAAAGGCTAGCAGTGCGGAGTTTGGGAAGCGTCTGTGGCAGTTGGATTAATCCTATACTCTAATACGAGCAATGTTTGCTTGTATGCTTGCTTGCTTGCTTGCTTGCAGAAAGATCTCGAAAACGGCTCCGACGATTTTCTTCAAATCTTGTAAATAGTTTATTTTTGGCCTAAAAACGAGTTTCATGCAGTTAGAACTGCCAACAAAAATCTAATTACGTAGAAAAATGAAACTGAAAATCACATTTTTTTAACATTAGTCTTATGGGTTGCTAGGTAACCATGTTGGATGAATTAAATAACAAGGATAAAGTAAACAAAAGACTTGAAGTTGTAGCATGTGTTCATAGTAAGCCAACTACCCACAGTATACTAGCAAATTACAAATACAGTACAAAAGGAAAACATCACTTAATAATTAGCATAATATTTAGCAAAGATTATACTGAAGATTACTCGATACATTGTAGGGAGTATGTTTTATAGTCTATGGTTTTATCTATGATTGTAGTCAAGGGCAGCAGTGCGAAGTCTGGGATCTGTTTATGACGATTAGATTAGATTAAGGTATCTGCAATCCTAAAATGCTATGGGAAGGGAAGGAAACAGGTCCGCGACATAGGAAGTGGTGAAGGAAGTAATAAAGGCAATCATAAAATGCTATGGGAATAGAGGGAAACAGGTCCGTGACGTAGGGAGTGATGAAGGAAGTAGTGAAGGCGAGCAGTCCGGAGTGTGGGGAATGTTTATGACGATAAGATTAGGGTATCTGCAATCCTAAAATGCTATGGGAAGGAAGGAAAACAGGTCCGCGACGTAGGAAGTGGTGAAGGAAGTAGTCAAGGCGAGTAGTCCGGATTGTGGGAACTGTTTATGACGATTAGATTAAGGTGTCCGCAATCTTAAAATGCTATGGAAAGGAAGGAAAACAGGTCCGCGACATAGGAAGTGGTGAAGGAAGTAGTCAAGGCGAGCTGTCCGGAGTGTGGGAACTGTTTATGACGATTAGATAAGGGTATGGGCAATCCTAAAATGCTACGGGAAGAGAGGGAAACAGGTCCGCGACGTAGGAAGTGGTGAAGGAAGTAGTCAAGGCGAGCTGTCCGGAATGTGGGAACTGTTTATGACGATTAGATAAGGATATGGGCAATCCTAAAATGCTATGGGAAGGGAGGGAAACAGGTCCGCGACGTAGGAAGTGGTGAAGGAAGTAGTCAAGGCGAGCTGTCCGGAGTGTGGGAACTGTTTATGACGATTAGATAAGGGTATGGGCAATCCTAAAATGCTATGGGAATAGAGGGAAACAGGTCCGTGACGTAGGAAGTGATGAAGGAAGTAGTGAAGGCGATCAGTCCGGAGTGTGGGGAATGTTTATGACGATAAGATTAGGGTATCTGCAATCCTAAAATGCTATGGGAAGGAAGGAAAACAGGTCCGCGACGTAGGAAGTGGTGAAGGAAGTAGTCAAGGCGAGTAGTCCGTAGTGTGGGAACTTTTTATGACGATTAGATTAAGGTGTCCGCAATCTTAAAATGCTATGGAAAGGAAGGAAAACAGGTCCGCGACATAGGAAGTGGTGAAGGAAGTAGTCAAGGCGAGCTTTCCTGGGTGTGGGAACTGTTTATGACGATTAGATAAGGGTATGGGCAATCCTAAAATGTTATGGGAAGGGAGGGAAACAGGTCCGCGACGTAGGAAGTGGTGAAGGAAGTAGTCAAGGCGAGCTGTCCGGAGTGTGAGAACTGTTTATGGCGATTAGATTAAGGTATTTGCAATCCTAAAATGCAATGGGAAGGGAGGGAAACAGGTCCGCGACGTAGGAAGTGGTGAAGGAAGTAGTCAAGGCGAGTAGTCCGGAGTGTGGGAACTGTTTATGACGATTAGATTAAGGTATTTGCAATCTTTAAATGCAATGGGAATGGAGGGAAACAGGTCCATGACGTAGGAAATGGTGGTGAAGGCGAGCCGTGTGGAGTTTGGGAATGGATTTATGCATCTCCAATACTAAGGTGCTTTCAGAGTGAACTAATGATTTTCCCCGAGCAAAGCTCGGTCCCCAGGTACTGTATCTAAAATACTAAAATGCTATGGGAAGGGAGAGTAACAGGTCCACGTAGGGAGTGGTGAAGGAAGTAGTAAAGGCTGGCAGTTCAGAGTGTGGGAACCGTTTGTAGCACTCAGAGAAATGTATCTGCAATACTTAAATGCTAAGATCCACGGCGTAGGAAATGGTGAAGGAAGGCTTGCAGTGCAGAGTGTGGGAACTGTTTGTGGCAATTAGATTAATGTATCTGCAATCCTAAAATACTATAGGAAGGGAGGGAAACAGGTCCATGACGTAGGAAATGGTGAAGGAAGTAATAAAGGCTAGCAGTGCAGAGTGTGGGAACTGTTTGTGGCAGTTAGATTAATGTATCTGCAATACTTAAATGCTATGAGAAGGAAGGAAACAGGTCCACGGCATGGGAAATGGTGAAGGAAGTAGTAAAAGCAAGCAGTGCGGAGTGTGGGGATTGTTTGTGGAAACTAGATTAATGTATCTAAAATACAAAAAAATGTTATGGAAAGAGAGGAAACAGGTCCACAAGACCACGACGTAGGAAAAGGTGAAGGAAGTAGTAAAGGCTAGCAGTGCAGAGTGTGGGAACTTTCTGTGGCAATTAGATTAATGTATCTGCAATACTTAAATGCTATGGGAAGGGAGGGAAATAGATCCACAACATAGGGAGTGGTGAAAGAAGTAGTAAAGGCGAGTGTGGAGTGTGGGAATGGAGTAATGTATCTGCAATTTAACTATAATTGGAGGTAGCACCATGGATAAAACATACTCCCAAATAGATTTCCCATCCTAATGGAACAGCTGAAGCCAATTTTGTTGTTAGTTCTGTCCGGTGTACTTTAGATGTTGTTTTTTGTTTACAATTTGTTGCAATTATTTAAAGGTTAGTTTCTCATGATTTGTTCCTCACCGTTTGGTTATATGGTTAGTGAACAAGTTATTGCTTATGATTAGATCGTTTTATTTGGTTAAACGAGGTTTTAAATTACTGAAATAGCAAGAAACGAATTGTAAACAAAACACGACTCTATAGTACAACGGACAGAACTAACAGTAAAATTGGCTTCAGCTGTTCCATAAGGATGAGAAATCTACTATGGGACTATGTTTTATCAATGGTAGCACTGATTGAGAGAATTACAAGATGTTAGCCGCCATTTGTACTAAGGGCAAAGAACATTATAATTAGGGGAATAGGGGATTGTAGCCAATGAGCTGGTTGATCCTCCTTGTTGGTACCAACATAAATTACAGAGTCTCGATTTTCTAACATAGTTGCCACCATTGCTACCTCGAGTTGCATTAATAGCTCAGTGATTTTAACACTTCCTGCTGATTTTGTTTATTGTATTGCTCTGTTCACATGTTTCATTCACACTATTTACAAATCACCAACTTAATTCTCACACCATTCTCTTTAGGATTCGATTCAAAGTTTTGACAAATAATCCAAGCTAATGTTTAAGCAAGAGCTCAATGTTAAAAAAGACTGCCTACTTTACAAACTGCAATAACACTGATTAAGAAGAATAACATTAATAGTGATCAGTTGGTAAATAAACAATCAACATTCTTTTATTGTTTTTCCACATGACTTTCAAAATAGTATTTTTTCATAAAATTTTCCAATGTGTTAAAACGAACAATCATATATAGTGCTTGACTAATAACTGATAATTATATTTATTTAAAAATTAAAACCTTAGGTTTAACTTAATATTTTTAATTCTATTAGCTCATTGATGGTTTACTTAAAAACCTCCAGCTTAAATTTGCTGTAAAAAGTCTCACCTGTGCCCAAGTGTTATAAACTAGGTCTAAGTTATTCAGTAGGCTATAAACTAATGTGCTGTGAATGATGAGCTAAATACAGGTTTATTATATCATACCCACAATGTTCCCAGTTAAGGGTTATTTTAAATCTTTGGATTGCCCTTGCTTTGAAATTGGGCTTTGTGACAGGCTTTACTGTCTTTTCCGGCACTACCAAAAAAATACAGAATGCATAAATTTGGAGAGAGAGATTCAGCGGAGTACTGAAGCTATTGTGTTTACAGAGGAGAAGCTTACACACAAAACACATGATTCGTCCATTAAAAACAAGGAATACAATCCAACCCCTATTTTGGAATTAAATAACCGTCAGGTTTGGGACGGTTTCCCTGAAGAACAGTTCGATCAAACCAAAGACCAAAGTGTTTTTGATGCTCTATCAAATAAAAGTTTCTCAAGCTATGATGAGGACAAAAACTTTTCTGAAAAAGAAAATCACAATTGTGTAGGCAGTGAATCACAAATGGAAATTTTAAAACAAGTATCAAATGATTCACTTAGTGATGATTCTATAATTGAAATTATTGATTCAGAAACAGAAAATAATACTGTTGATGATGTTAAGGCCAATTTTGGTACCGGTACCAGTATTAAGAACAGATATGTACAAAATATTTCTCAAAATAATTGTGTGCCTAAAAGGAAAGAAAAACTCAAAGCGCCAGCTAAAGACAAAAACTCAAGTTTACTACAGAGCAAAAATAATAAACACAAGGATGAAACCTATTTGGTGAGTCGACCCAAGAGAACTGTTAAAAAGTTTAAGCAGAGGGATGACAAAACGTCTAAAACACAGATGAAAGATAGTTTTAAAGAAATATCATCTTCTGTAAAATCTGATTCATTTTACAGTAGTTCATCACACAATTGCTTTGTCAGTGATAAAATTAAAGACTCATGTAAGATTAGCCAATCATCTGATGACAACAGGATATCTGTGGAAATTTTACAATCAACAATACAAAACAAAAATACACTTGAGGATTGTAGACCTCCTTCAAAACATATTGATTTAACAGGGCACTTTAAGTTGAAAAGTGAAAGCTTGAAGCTAGATTATAGAGTTGAAAATAATAGGAGAAAAAGAATAGCTATGGGAGAAGCATTGCTGAAGAAACATAAACGAATTAGAAGAAAAGTGGAGATGATGACTCCAGCAAAAAGATTTCTCATGATGGCAAACATAAGAAATAAAAAGGTAAATTATGTTAAATCACAACTTAACGAGGTAAATATTGTTAACTCACAACATAACGAGGTAAATATTGTTAACTCACAACTTAATGAGGTAAATAAATCACAAGTTAATAATGATAAACCACAACACAAGTTAAACCTAACTTGTGTTGACAAGTTAAATCTTGTTAAGCCAAAACGTAGTGTCCAGGCAGTGAAGATTAGAAGTGTTCCTAATGTTAAATCTCTCCTCAAAGAGAAAGAAGAACTGTTGAAAAAGATAGAAAACTACAAGAAGTGCAAGTCAACTAAGTAAAAACAAGTACTGAACAATCCTTACTTGTTTGAAAACCAAAACTGTTCTTAAAATGTTTTAGGTTTATAAAACATTATTTGTTAACGATGTAACAACGGAAAAATGTGAAATGAGGATACATTAAAAATGAGGTCCCTCTTCTTTTAAGGGCAAAAAAATAAAAGATTCTTTAAAGTTTAAGGAAGTTATTATTTTGTAACCAATTAAAAGGTAGAAAAGTTTATTTGATCTACATTGATTATGTAATTATGTACAGTATTTTGTTTATAAAGCTCAGTTTTTGACTCGAATATTTGTTATGGATAATTTTTTTACCTGTATAAAACACAGGAATAAATTTTTTAAGTGTTAAGCCAAAGCTAATTAATTAAAAATAATACAAGGCCTACAAAGATGCGTTAAAAATAGATTTTAAATCTGTAAATATGAAATGAGATGTTTTCGTAATTATGAATCAACATGGGATTATACAAACTTGGTAATGAATGAGACCCTCGACACACACAGACATTTTTTCCTAGGCGCTACGCACGAGCCCGGGATTTTTTTGCGGTATTACTTCAGACTAGACCTAGGGGTGGCGACATTATCACTTAGATAAAATCCATTGGTGGTTTGGAGGGATTTGAACCCGAGACCTCTTGGACCAAAGTCCCGAGCTCTAACCACTAGACCAGCTCGCTCCCCCAGACACACACATGGACTTAAATCGTTCTACAATACTAATGCTTGCTACACACTTGAGCACGGAGAAGTAAGATACAGAGGAAACACGCTTATGGGTCAACTGTGCACTTTCAGCTATGGTATACAGTACTATGTTGTGTTGAAAATATTTTTGTGATGGGTAAGGAGGAGCCCGAACGGTGAACACTGGGTAGAAACCATTAACACAGAGCACAAAATCCTCCCTCACCCTCTTCTTCCTCCTTGTAAAGGCCTGTTCACATCGGCGTAGCCAGACGTATTCAGTGTATTAATACTTTGCCCATGCACTGTTCACACCGCAGCTACGTAGCCAGTTTGCCACCCCTTTTTCCCCTCCCGCCCCCAGTGCCACACTCCACATATTCAGCGTGTTGTGTTTAGCATCCCAAAGATCTAAAATGGATCCATCCAATTAATCAAAGAAGAAGTTTCTCAAATGAATATTTTTCACACACGTGCCGCAATGCCTTTGTTCAACATTCAATCTGGGAATATTTGAATTTCTGATAGTTCCCGAGGCGGCCGCTAGGTAGACTATTGAGAGGACACGGCCAAGTCAGCTGACTGAGTGAGACAAAGAATCAGCTAAGAGAGAGAGGGAGATAGAGTAGCAAGGCCGTCTCATGAGTCTCATTGTTACAGGCCTTAGTCTGCAATACAGATATTATTTATTTTTGTTGTTTAAGTTAATAATATTTAGATAATCTTTTATTTTGTCATTTTAGTTAAAGGAAATTAAATCTAATCATGAAATACTGACAGTACTCAAAAATAAAAGAGAAAAATTTGGGCAACATAAGTGTACACAAGTATAACCATATACAAAAAGAATTAAATATAGACTGTCAGCCGTGCTGCGGTTACCATGGTTACCATAGGTTCCGGCGCACACCGCTGTAGTTTACGTAGCGCGTACACCGTAAATACATGGCGCTCCAAGCGGTGTGCGCCAGAAGCTATGGTAACCGCAGCACAGCTGACGGTCTATATTTAATTCTTTTTGTCTATGGTATAACCAACGTGAATCACACATCAAGGCAGGCTTTAGATATTCCAATAGAATGAGCTATCTACAAGCACTATCAACAGTTGAATTCAATATTCAGCCAGCTGTGTTAGGCCATAGCTGAGCAATTAATAAACGTAACAAAAACATGTGTTTTTTTCCTGTAACGTGGTGGAAAATTAGGCGACTTATCTAGAAAAAAATCTTTTATTCGCTCAACATTCTACTCAATATGATCTTTGAACATTTAGAACAGTTTACAAAGAAAATATATAGACTAAAGGCTAAGACACAACATACCTTATTGCATGCCAGAACCCGAGAATTCTTTTTTATAAAATATAAATTATTTGTTAAACACACAATGTTATAAAAAATTATACAGTATCTGAGAAACTTGCTGGCTACATATTGTACAATATATTTATTATTCAACACATTATAATCTAGGTATTAACATGACCATGTTGAATATATAAGCTATTTACAGAATGCAATACTATTAAATGTACATTAAACTAATAATAACTGTTTAAAGTTTGTCTAAAAATGTTTCACACAGATTAGGATCCACTGACAAGTTCTCCATAGAGGAAGGGTTACGGATATATGATGTTATAGATGCCCATGTTTCCATTCATGAAATGAGTAGATATATTTACGTTTATGGAAATGTCTGTTGTTTATTTTATTTGCTATTTACATACTATAACATGCTGCAGTTTCTAGTAAACACTCTTTAAAATACATTGAAAATTCATCCAATCTAATAAATAGTTTTATAAGGTAGGGTATAAGGTAATGAAATTTATTGTATTTGGGTTTATAACAGATATGCGAGTAGTGGTTAGTAATTAATAGCAAGCAAGTAGTTTAATACTTATAATGACTGTTAAACTCCAATTATGGATATTTAAAATTTGTTTGATTCTGTTCACATTGTATGCTAAATTACTTAGGCTACCCAAATTACGCAAATTGTGTGTTGTATTTTAAACTTTTCATCGAGTATGTAAAGTAATTTTACAATTTAAGTAATTTTAAGAGAACTAGTTTTATTAAATGTTTATTACAAATCTCTTTCATACGTAATCTAAGTACTTACTTACCTTGCCTCAGACAAAAAAATACAAAATCGTAATAAATAAACTTTAACACCATACAAATTGCTTTACAACTAACGCCCTTTTGATATTCAACCTAAATACATTCTTAGGTAAATATGACAAAAGATGAAACGCAAATTCTTCATTTATTAAAGACACACTGTTTATGATTACAAATATCACATTTTACTTAATTAAAAGCAATTCAAGAGAGAGGTGAATTTATTTCTGTACCTAGAGCAAAACTGTACCAAAATAACTCATACCAATAATACCATTTGAAATATTTTCCATTTCCACTTATAAATCCACCCAAACTTTGGAACCATTTTACTATCACACTTAATTTACTTCAGCACACAAAATAAAGGACAACAACTAATACAATTAAAGACTAGAAACAGTGATGAACATACAAGCAGGTACAAACTATTTATTTGAAATTACCTATATTTGTAAAATTATTTATTGTTACAAAATCAGACAACACTTGCAAAGCTAAGCTATGTGAAACCAACAAATAAATACATTTAGGAATGTTGCTGAAAAGATGGTTTTTTTGGAGCAAAGACAGGGAAAAACTAATAAAGTTGTTCCAAATTTTAGAAACTTTTCAATTTGTAATACTCTAAATTAATAATATTAGCTTCGTGTATGAAAGCCAAGTATTTTAATTTCATGGTTTTGGCGATAGCTATTTAAGACTTATATCCAGGAAGCAAGAGGTTATTCGACAGATAGTTCCTGCTAGGATAGCTAGGGAAAACTTTTGAAATACAATAGAGTGTCAATTATCCAACCATGACATTGCTTCTTTCTGCATTGAGACAAATCATAAACTATATTAACAATAATTTTGATGTTTTGGTAATTTTATAATAACTGAAGTTACCAAAAGGAGAAAAATGTTTTGTGCACATGCAATGTTTGGATAAAAAACTAAATGTTTGGGAGTCAATTACTTAATAGGGCCATGGTAGTAGCTTGTAATCTCTTGGTTAAAACTATTATTATTGTTTTGATTTTAATTTTAGAATATTTAATTTATATATACATATATATTATTTAAGGGTATTCAATTTGTTTTAATATACAACCTTACAATATTATTTAATATCTTACTAAATGTTTTAGTCAAGATTTTAGTTGTTTGGTCTCTTGGAAGTTGCAAATTTTATTCCCTTCCAGTTGAAACTCCTTAGCATCCTCCTTAGCATTTAAAAATAAAAGTGTCTTTAAGACTATAATAATTTGAAAATATGATAAACAATCCAAAAATTATATAATAAATATCTTTCACAAAAAAAAAAAACTAACTATCACATTATTTACTCGTGTAAAACATATTAATTACAAATTAATTTTAGTACTTCACAAAACAACATGTTTCAAAACAGTTATGGGGTAAGTTATAGTAAAGAGAAGTTACTACCCTTACAATCAGACATATCCAGTGAGCATAAAATTATAGACTTCAAAAAATATGTTTTACATATACCTTTTAGCCTTAGTTTATATTAGTATTATTTTATATTTGGGTGTATTAATATTATGTTCATATTAAATAATAGAGTAGGCTCAAGCTAAAGTCGTTTTGGATTGAAAAATTATATAAAATGTTTAAAGTTTACATTCTAAAAGGTACTTAAACACAATCATACTGGTAGTAAAATACCGTTTTCATTTATTTCATCAATCGGTAAAAACAATACACTGGTATCAATTTTTTACTAAGATTCTTCTTTTTTTAATTTCCATAATTTATGACACCCTAGCTTTATAAGAAACTAACTCAAACACTAAACCTTCAGAGTTTAATCTTGCTGTAGGCCTATGTTACAAAAGGGCCAAATGCTTGGTAATGTTAACTTAATCAGTTCATAGTTATTAAGTCCTCTGTATCATAAAGAGTCAAAAACAGAAACCCAAGGATATATATTTTTGTGTTATTCCTAATGTGTGATTGTTTTTTCCAATTCTCAATACTCTACTGAAGAATCTTTTTCTTGTAAAATAGTTTGAATAAAAAAGATCATAATCTATGTTTTACAAAATAGTACAAAATTCAGTTGACTAAAAGAATTGGTTCTAATAACATATAAAAACAAAATATGAAGCAAAGCACCAAATGAAAGGCAATGTCAAATCCTTAGTTTGTATTAAACATGTTTGTTATACTGACAAAAATGTATTCTAGCTAAAATGACAATAAAATCAAGTCAAATCAATAGAGACACCAATAACATAAGGAATGTGCAGAGTGTAAAGGAATGGTAATAAAAATACAAGTTACTTAATAGAATGTGAGCATTTAAGGTCGATAAATAAACATAGAGTAAGAAACAGTTGTACAGAGGGATCTGACAGAGATTTTAAATAAGTCAAATATAACATCAATAGAAATGGTGGAGTAAAAATAAAATTGATTTAATTAAAACGTTAGGTAACGTGTTTGCAGTTAATAGACAATTGTATTACTAGATTAAGTATTTCTTATAAATGTTAAACTATGACCATTCCAAAATACACCACTTTTTATAGCTAATCAAAGATATAACACTGAAATATCAAATACTTTATCATCCTTCACATTTCTGAGTACTTTGTATTGAAAGGTTAAGGACATTTAAATATACAAATTTACAAATATACAAAGGACAATTCAAAATTAAAACATTTTTACTCTATCTTTGACACTAAAATCTCCATCATGAGACGTACAGCATATCAATCATACTAAAAACCATTTTAAATTTTAAACTTCTTTGTACAACTTTCAGTTTGAATTAATTTTTTAATATAAAACTTAACAATATATTTTTATAGACACAATTGAGTCTCCATAAATATACAATAGCTGTAACTCTTCCAAGACAATAGAGAGTGAGAATAGGAAATTAAACTAAAGATTGGAGTGAATGTGAGTGAAGTACTTACTAAGTTACTTAGATCCATCATAATGTAAGTTCCTAGAAAATTTAGAGAAAAATAAATACAAATCTTTAAGCAGAAACAGCAGAAACACACTTAAGTTACAAAAATAAACACATTTACATAGTCAATAAATGCACTGTTAGAACATGTTGTACACAAATGACGTAGGCAAATGAAGCACAATTGTTACAACTCGATTGATATTGATTTTCAACAAGAGTAACATTTATTACCTACAATAAATATATCGATTTCTCATGTACAATAGTAATATCGGTTTATTCAAATGTCAACAAGCATCCATAATCCGTTGACTGATACTTAGTTACTGATAGTTGAATAATACTAAAAAGCCAACACTAAAAAGATAGAAGTAAAAAGTAATCAAATCAAATTAAAAGAAAAGAAAGTTTTTAAGCACTCTTTAACAAAATACCCTACTCAATGTATATGAATATGGAGCTGATAAATAATGAGTTTGTTTTGTTTTTCAATACAAGCAACCATAAAATATTTGGGTAGAATTCGATACAAATTTGTGATGTATTATAACAATTAAGGATTTACACTTTTAACAAGTTACATACTTACAATATACAGAACATGAATAGCAAAAACTTCAATATGAGAGAACACATTAACGCATAGGTATGTGGTGAAAAAGCCACCTTTAGAGTATTCTAATCTAGGACTATTCACTGAGCCTACTGAGGTTTTATTTACATTCCTTAAATTAATAGAGTAACAAACTTAAGCTTAAAAAAACATAGTATAGAGTTTTTAACAAATTTACTGGATAAATCGTAGAATTAATGTAGCATGTAAATATTACACACTATTTAAAGACTAAGAAAAACAGTAGCTAACATCAAATAACTTTCCAAACAATATTAATTTTGAAATCAGTCGTAGAGTAGTAATATAGTAGAACCTCGATAATTCGAAAACCTCTATAATTAGAAATTTGTGTCTATTCCACTCAGAAAACGTCTAGAATTCAAAAAATAATAAAACGATAATTCAAAATGATTTTTACGCTAATGCAGCCTTTACAATTTCAATTTTCACATAATCGAGCCTCTACAGTTCAAATTTTGTTGCTGTAATTCAAACTGTTACCTCCAAAATTCAAAGTCAACCTCAACAATTCGAACTGTGTTACCGTAAGCTTCTGTAATTTGAATTCAGGATCAAAAATACGCCTGTTGAAACATGAAGTGACGCTCTTATTGATGTTCCCACAATGTCTTCATTAGTCTCCGTTCTCTCAAACTCTCTACACTTAACAATGGGACCTCTTTAATTTAAATTTTATTTATTCTGACTTCTATAAATCTAACTCTCTATATTTCAAACTTGGCATAGTTCAAAATATATTGTCTTTCCTCTGGGATTCAAATTAGCGAGGTTCTACTGTAGTTGTATTCAACTTGAAGATTTTAAAACTGAAATATCAATAATAATCTGTTCAAAAAAACATTTTGCCAAATTATGTTTGATAATTTTAGTTTGCATCAGTTGATCTTAAACATTTGTACTGCCAAGACTGAGAAATTCAATATATAAAGGCGTTGACATTGATCCTGAAGTAGACATCCCACCTGCATGGACCAGCTGTAGTAGCCATTTTTTTATTAAAAAGAACTTTGATGAATGACTTACTCATTCACAGAGTGCGCTGCTGTCTAAAATCCTTATTTTCACCACATTATTATTGTTACTGCAATAGTTGGTATGATGAAAGAGATGCTATTCTTCATGGATAGGCTTCTACATTGTATATATAAGAGATGCTGTTGTTAGCCATAGTTTTCTTTTCAGTTTGGCTTTATTAAATCTTTAAGTATTCAATGGAAATAAAGAATTTAAATCAGTTTACTCTGTAGGTAGCTCAACTTAACTGCGACCAAATTTAACACGGTAATTAAATGTCTAGTTTGAACAATAGTTAAAGCCTTCTAATTTTAAAGTTTATCTATTGACACATAAAACATTTTTGGTTACAATTAGCGGAGTAAAAACGAAAATTGGGAAACTACGTACATGTGTGAATGGGGTCACTTGAGGTCGACAGTTGGTTGGTCGAGGTGGAACGGTCGCAAAGGGGGGCCGAGCTCTGCAAGAGGAGTGGCCGTGTCCTCGTGGGGAGAAGGGGGGTCCATGACCACTATCCTAATCTTGTTCCTGTCTGCATGAGGGACATCTCCGTTCTGAGGGGAGGTAGAAGGGGAGTGGTACGGAACGTAGATGCGGACGACGTCAGGACTAGCACGGGGCGTCTCTGGACCCCCACTCTCGTCACCCGTGTCGCCCCCGCCCAGACTGTGAGTGTCTTGGGCTTGAGACCGAGTGGCGGATGAGAACACGCTTAAGTCTGCTGTGGATGTGACGCTCGTCTCTGCAAGTGAGCGGCGTGAGCCTTCGCCAAGCAAGGAGGACGCATCGTCTAGACTCGGCTCCAATGAAAACTTACTGCCTGTAACACCCTCTGAGACATCAACTACGATTAAATCTGCTCTCTGCAATAGATGACTTTATTGGTAACTCGTGAGATTTTAATTAGTTTTAGTTAAATATTGGCCATTTAAATTTTTTAGAACTTAGATTTTTTTTAAGTGATTTACTTTAGGGAAAATGACCTGAACAGTTTTAAAAACATTATAAAAGATTGTCAACCATGCTTTATTGGATATAATAATTGTCTACTTCATATTCATTGCTAAGTATTGGTTAGGGAGATGTTTGAAATTGTATTGTTGGTAGTAAGAATGTTGATGCTATTCATTGTCTTATGATGTACATGTATAAATAAAAATGTTTTTTAAAACTTACTTTCTAATGTGTTAAATAATACTGAGTGATGGTCTTGCTTAACATTTTTAATTTTATGACTAAAACATTTGAGATGTCTGACATACAACATTTTAAAAGTGGATGTATATATTCGATTCGTTGCTTTCACAAAAATTAGTGTTTTCAATGATGTATTTTTTTAAACTTTTTTTACATAGGAAGTAAAAAATCAATAGTGGTATTTCATAAGTAGAATGAAAAGTGTCGCTTTCATGTGAGTAACTAGGCGAGGCAAAGCCAAAGCATAATTTGGATGAGGACCAAAAGTCTATTTGATGAACAATATTTTTTTGTCAATTAATTGTAATTTTTGAACTGCTCCTCAAAAGTGGCATTTTAATTATTGCTTACTTTTTTATCAGTTTGTATTGGTGGAACAACGTTAGCGTTAAAAAAAAATTATCCGTCAAGCTACCAAGTATTAGTGAAAAAATGGCACCAATCTACGTTTCCAAACCCTCACAGTTAGGGAATAATAGTCAAAATATGATCATTTCCAAAATTAGTTCTTGTGTAACAATATGGCCGTAGGTGCACTAAAAATCGTTTTTCTTTGGGATTTATTAAAATTTTCAGAATCTTCATTAAATTTCCAATAACAATAGTCCTCGTTGTAACACATTGGTATGAGCCCTTATTCTGCAACGGAAGTTTGAATTTGTAGTTTTTGAGAAAAATTCAATAACTTTTACAACGCATGTTTCATTATTTATTTTAATTTTTTTTTGAAAAATCAGTTTTTAGTAGGGATTGGCCAATTCCAAAAGTCGATTCTCAATTCCACCAATACTTTGATTTGGAATCGGAATCTAGAATCAATAGCTCAAAGTCGATTCTGATACCGATTCCCTACTTGGCTGTGAAAATCCTGCAATCGGAAAATTACCGTTATTCACGCAAGACGACGATAACGTTTCCACGATTGTGGGAGCCGATGATGAATTGACAATATTACCTCGAGTTTGGCTTGATTGAAAATCTCAGGTAGGCACACCTCTAGTTACGATAAAAAATTTTATCTACCCTATATTTATTTACCTACAATATGGTATTTATTTTAAGTGTTTAGAAGGATTTATAACTTTTTAAGCTTTTAATTTATGGAATCAATGGAATCAGAATCGAGAATCAATTTCAAAGGATTTGAACCAGAATCTAAATCAAAAATTTTGTGAATTAAGCCATCACTAGTTGTTAGTGATGGGTTGATTTGCTGTATTTGTTTTCAAAATGGCAATACAGTAGATAAAAAAACTACCATAAAATAAAAATAAATTAATAAATCTGAAATTGATATTCTTTTAAACAACAAAAAATTCAAATTCTATAATTTGGCAATCAGCAAATATATCAGCGGTAGAACCTAAAATTCATTGAAACTAATTAGTGAAGAAAAAAAATTTATTAATACCACACAAACTAAACAATCCTATAAAACTTTATGAAAAACTAAGGTTAAAATTAATTTAAAATAGATTTTTCTGGATGATCTAGGTTTCAAAACAAACACTTTTTTGAGTCTTACATCTGCTCTTGGAAGACTTATGGTTGTCTTTAGGAATTTGGGGATTGTGGAATGAGGAATGTCTATCATTCCAGCTGAGATATGATCCAGGGAAATTGGACATTTCAGTAGATGGAAGGCCATTGGAGTTAATCCTGGATTTACGGTGTTTGGATTGGCGACTAGTTTGAATTTCATCGTACTCATCAGATTCACAAGAAAAGAACTCACTACCACTAAGTTTATTGATGTCTTCTCCCTCAAAATGTTTACGACCAAATAAATGATTTGTAACAGATCGTTTATGTGGGTTGCCTTCAACGTATGACTCACAATTCTTGTATTTTTGTGATTGTTTAGTAGCCACATAACTTTTAGATTTACATTTGGACTGTTCTGTACTATAGTTACTTGCTCCAAAAACAAATGATTGAGGCTTGGTAGATCCTTTACTTCTGTGGTGGCTCTGAGTATCTTTGTTACAATTTTCAGTTGTAACAATTTCACTTTTACACTTGGATTTGTCTTTACTAGAGTTACTTGCTCCAAAAACAAATGATTTAGGCTTGGTGGATCCTTGACTTCTGCGATGTTTCTGAGTGTCTTTGTTACAATTATGTGTTGCAACTATTCTATTTTTAGAACTGCACCCAATGGCTCGACCTCCCAAGTCATGGTGATATGAAAGATACTGGTTGGATTCACAGAGATGTGATTGATTGTCATTAGAAACTTCTGTAGATGGTCTACATTTACTAGAGTATAGATGGCGCGGTCGACACTCAGTTGGGCCTTTGCTAGATTTGTTTATCTTGTAGGATTCGTCCCGGAGATATTTTTTATTGTTTGCACTGTCAGGGTCTCTCAGATCTTGAGTGAGTCTATGGTGTCTGCTGGACGGTTTACAACTAGAGTTGTGGCCACGGGAGTTTTTGGAAGGGAAGAGGGAGGGGCAGGTTTCTTTCAGAGCTGTAACATAAATTAAAAGTTAATTTAATTCAAATTTTTATTTTAAAAGCAAAACATTATATTTTGATTAGTTGCTCAAAATCTCTTTAATGATGCTAATTGGATTCTCATTTTATCGTCCTCTATTATTTAACACTCAATAAATGTTAATACATTGTTTACCTTCAGTAAAAAAAAATTATTACCTTGAGTTTTAAGTTTTTATTTAAACTCAGCAGGTTTTCTATCAGCTTAATATGAGTGTTTTTCTATTAATATAGATATTACAAATGAATACTTTTTTAACTATTTGAGTCAAAAGACCACTGAAGATGTAAGCTTATATTTATTTTCCATGAATAAATGTTCTTGTTTTAGGATGGATTGGAAGTTTTCATTTTATATTTCTTGTTTTTAGTTTGTTTTATGTAAATTAATTTGTTAGGTTCAAGCTATGTTTTTTTTACTCTCTTTTATAAAATAAAATTAGTTTCTTGTGTACATTTTGTAAGTTTGTTGTGAAAATGAAGTTAACTTTGATTTGATTTTGAATTATAGCGTAAGTAAACCTACTCATTTACAAAATTATTCTCTCTGAGAAAGCAAAGATAAAAAAAATATTGTTGCATATTAAATCAAAATGATAACAAGGATTCAGAAAATCTTTCTGTTTTATATTTAGTTCATTTTTATTGTATTTTTTTTAGAAATCCAATGAGGAAGTATATAAATGATTGGAAAAAAATGGAATACAAGTTCAAATGTAAAAAAGTCTATGCCACAGACTTGGATTCATTTGAGTTTTGCTAGCCCATACAACTGTAAGTGAAATACTATTTATAATAACTTAAAAATATTATTATAAAACAATTCTACTGAGAAAAAAACAAAGTAGTTGATTACAGCAATGAAAATATAATGTAATAAAAGCCTGAGTGCAGTAGAGAAAAATTTAGTGTCAACATTTAAAATGGTCGTAACAGTGTTTTGTGCTTGAATTAATTACATTCTAAAACTAACTGGTAACTACACTTTCATATCACGGTATTGAAAACAATATCGTTGATAAACACAGAATACAGAGTTCGGCCTTTTTGTGGCAAGTCCAAGCCTAGTGTCTAACAATTAAAATAATTTGACCTACAAAACAATCTGTTTTAGCTCTAAGCCTACGCCAACCTATTAGAATGACAGCAGTAGCAACACAAGTGAAATGTGAGCCTCAGATAACAAACAACTAACTAGATATATTGAACTGGGCCACTACATGTGCTGGTGCTGGTGAATTCAATGGTATACTTATTTATTTTAAAATCTCGGGATTTTAGGTTTTAGTTTTAAGGCCGGTATCCACAGTCCGAGGCAAAGCCCGAGCATTTGCCACGAGGCATTTTTCATTTGATATCACCTAAAAGCATTGATTTTTTGTATATTGAAGTAAAAATAGCATCTATGTTGAGAATCTGAAGCACATTTTTAAAATAAAAAATACATAGTTGAATAAGCAGCTCACAGAGTTTGTTAGCAGCTAAAGTCCAATTAATTGTCTCCCTTAATTTTGTTAATACAAACTTAACGATGCTACATTACAATAAGTTGAGCCAAAATTATGGTTTTGAAACAAAGTTGACGTCTTCAACAGAAATCAACACCTTAAATCAGCACCCTCTGTCAGTGGATCAATTCAACTACGTCTATTTTTATTGAAAAACTGGCAAGAACTAGAACATTGGAATGGAATGTATAGTCCATCAACAAACAGACAACACATTGAATTCACTTTTAAACTACTGTGAATATTACTATAAAGCAAAAAATAACAATTATGATGAAACACACAATAATTGATTGAAAACACAACAAAAAGCGCAAGACGCAACACTGCAGCCTGTCAGGTGTTGGTTACCTGCAGTAGAGGCGGACTGCAGTCAGCACTGCACCTCTACGAAGCATGCAACACACACGTGCAGGTTAGGTTAGTCTCCTACATGCTAGGGTACAAATATATCTGTACTCCCACCTAGTCTGGGTCCCCACTCAAATCTGTCATCATACAGTTTTTGTGACATTGATAAAATCAGAGATTATAGATTTAGAATTTAGATAAAGGCAGAATCACAGTAACATTATGGTGAGCCATACAAAGCTAACTTGAGAGACAAAAGGAAAACTACACAGAGGGG